AAGAGTTTCTAGGGCCTAAGGCTAGAAAGGAGGGTGTCAGTCTTGGTAGTAGTATCCAAGGAGTTTCTTTTTATGCCATCCTATCCTGGGTATCCCGGTTCATATTAAGATGTCTGTCTAGTGGGAGAGAGTTTCCCAGTGGTGAATAGAATATGTCTATGAGGAGTGCCCCTGGATGTGAAGCCTTTTTCTTTTTACAAAAGAAAAACTATCGCCTTTTTCTTTTGGCAGTATGAGTTGAGTTGCCTTTGCGGTCGATCCATTTTGAGTTCCCTGGGTGCCAGTAGGAAGACTGGTTTTGAAGATAAAGAGAACCGGAAAGGGTCGATCCTACACAACTTCTTTCTTTCTCTTGACATACTAGAGAAAGAATAATGGGAAGACTCGTAAAGCTATACCTGACTTTCTTTCGATTTGCCTATGAAAAGAAAACTGTGAATATGTCAACGAAAGCAAGCAAATTTCACCTTCTTTATTGAAGGCGAATGCCGATCTTCCGATCCGAGACTTTGTTGTTCGAAAGACTTGCTTCACTTGATTCCGTAGATGCTGAACCGGCCTTGATGCGCCACCCGGACAATACTCCACTTCGGCTTTGCCGATTGCTACTATTTGACTATTCCAATGAAAAGCCCCGGACTGGGGGTTGAAAAATCATCACAAGGCGCTAGATGAGCAGAGCCCTTACTAACCTGTCAAATTACGATAGATCAAATGATATGCCATGTCTTCATCCTATTTGAAAACTTCTTTTTCATTTTGAAAGCCACCGGCTTACTCTTTTTTACGAGCATTTGGGTATGAGGGCTATCCTAATTTATCCATAAACTTGCCCCTTGTTACAAAAAGTGGATTTTTCCGGGGTAGTGTCCAACTTCACACTTCTAAATGGTCTCGCTGCCTTGATCTTGATACTAAGAGGGTTTACACAAGCAGGCATGTCATCGCTCCGCGCCTGAACAGTCGAACCTTTTTCCCAATCACCAACTTTCTCTTAGCCTACTGCTTTTTTTTAGGGAAAACTCGGCCTAAGCTTCATTTCACATTCATCATATCTTCAAATGAAAAGACTTAATAACATCTATAAAATTCTCAATCCATACCTGGAACTTAGTAAGATTTCTAGCCATTTGGACTCAAGCATGCGCTACCTTCTTACTTATTACATTACCATCTCATATGAAAAAGAAAAACGATCAATCCACCAGGTGCCCGAAAGAACGAATAGGAAGGATGCAACTGAAACTCCCTGATCAACGGCTTTGCATCACCATGAGAGTTGGCTGGTCATTTTTCTAGGATCATTAGCTCTTCCGGTAATTTGATCCCACCAGACAAAGAAGCGGATATGGAAAAGGGCTGTTCCACACTAGTTTCTATTACATTTCCACACAACCAAAGAATCGAAGAAGGCTGTGAAGGGAAAACGACGGGTCTTCACTCTCTTTTTAGATTATGTGAAACAATGCCTACTCAGACCCTACCTGGTCTAAGTCCATCTTGAGACGAAGGAGGGTACGTATGATCCACTTGGGTCCTTACGTAGTAAGCCCACGGAGTGGTCGCTATTTAGTTTTGATCTTCAGAATGATACTGATCGCTTTCCAGCACAACTGCTGGACAAGCTGTTGTCTTTGTCGTCGGTCACTTCTACCTTCAAGGAATTCTTCTTTTTCTTTTCTATTGTAATACATATATAGTCCTAGTTCTGTTCTATATTAGAAAACAAAACCTAAAGGATGAAACATAACTCTAACTAAACGACTAGCCTGCCGACCAGAAAATATGATCTCACAACCCTACTTCGATCTTGGCTCTTGTCGAACGTTTATCAAAATACCTTACGAAACGAACCTTCTCGTGATCTTAGACCTTCACTCATAGCGGCCTAGCCTACCGATCTACCCACGGAAACTAGTCTGAATCGTAAAGTACTACTCAAACGAGGTGCGGAGCAAGGTTTCTTTTTCTTAGATAGAGAGACCGTCGATCAAGAGGAAAAAACGAAAATCAGATAGGGGAGTTGTCTAGCTCAAGAAAGTGAGCGGTTCATTCAGACAGGCTTCCTTCACTTCAGAGTGGCTTCTTTACTGGTCTTAGTGAAAGTACACTTCCCTTTTCTAGCGCCTTAGCGGTCTTGCTTCAGGGAAAGGACCCGATATTGATTTTCCATTTCTGCTTGAAATTCGATTCGTCTTTCCTGTTGGCTATGAAAGAAAACTATGGATTCGCATTGAAGCAAGGTCACACAAGACGAAAGGTCAATGAAAAAGGCATTGATCGCAGGGAAAGTCCTTTCTTGTCTATTAGTATATGATGAAGTCTATCTTCTTTCGCTTGAAAGTGGAGTTCTTTGATCCTATCCCAGGATATGCAAAAGGCTCTAGTAGAGAAAGGGTTTCGGCATAATAGAGTTTACTAGAGAGAGAGATGACTTTCTGAATGTGGTATTGATACCACCAAACCAAAACGGTAGAAGGATGAAGTCTTTCTTTCGTCTGATTTTCTTCGTATTCCGTTCCGTTGTTGGAAATAGAAAGAAAAAAGGTGTTGGTCTTGTCTTGGATCTGATCTGGGGAAGGAAACTTTGGGACCGCCTGAAAACAGAGATTCCATCCTGACTCATAGATTGGTCTTAGACGGAGAAGGCACGTAGTGAAGAGGAAAATAGAAGAAAGTAGCACTCGAGCCCAATGAATTGCCCTTCCCTCTCCGATACTTATCGTCGAATGGCTTGAATTCGGGTTTGGGACTCGTTCTATGACCGTACTTCCTGAGGAGAGTAGAGTGTAGACCCTTCCCTAGTGGAATCCGCTTCTCTTCTTTCTTTTGCTCAGCTGAGCTACGTCCTATTCCGTCTGACTATGGCAAGTTTTTTTTGGGAGGCATTAAGTCCCTTGCTAAAGGGGATCGATTTAGAAACATAGACCCCATGAAAATATGCCAACAAAAAAAGGAAAAACTGCAGGCGTTTTCCGCAGCAGGTCGTAAGCTTTACACAACAGGCCGTGATGAAGGACGAGTCGTTCCTTCACATTGCGTTTGTATGTATAACAGACAACCGGCGGCGACAAGAGATATTTCAAGAGAAAGCGAATAATCGAAGTAAGCCGAAGCATACCAATGAAGATAGTGCAAGTGCTGCTTCATCCATTCCTGGAGAAGACGCTCAAGCATATTCTCTTCATCGCCCTCCCAGAATCGTCTAAGCCGGTCAAACTCCTTTTCATCGAAGTCTTTTGGCTTCACGCGCTCTAAGATAAAGAACCGCACCATAGTTACCATAGCAGACAAGAGCCCAGCTGACGGGGACGTTCGGTAAGGCTTGGCTTTCTATTTCGATAGCTAGACGAGTTTCGAAGGGGAAGGAGGTAGAGGCAAAGAAAAAACAAGAAGATTAGCTGCCAGCCGTCAATCGAACGGGAAGGGAAATTGCTCCGCACCTTACCTTACTACAAAGCTTGCCATCCCCTAGAATGAATAGGGCTTTCTTTCGAACAGGATTTCCCGACTTGAGAGCCTGAAGCCCTAAAGACCAAAGGAGACTGTTGCTTAAAATGAGACTGGCTAGAATGGATAGCGTTGGTTGGACCCCCGAAAAAGAATTCATGGTTGAGGCCCACTCTTCCATCTCATGAAATCACAACTGGAATAGCGGAAATCAGGTACAAAAAGACGGGTAAGCGTTCTAATTCATCAAACTTTCTGCACTTGCTAGGGCATACCCGATCACCTGGCTTAACCCAATGTAAAGGGGGCTAACCCACCTTACTTCAAACGCTTACAGAACTACGGCAATGGATTCTCTCATTCATGTTGAAAAGCGCTAACAACCTTGATATCGCCTGGAAAGGTTCACTCCACTCCCATTTGAATGAGACAAAGACACGTTTTGAATACCGACCATTGGAGCTATTTTCAGGCGATTGGGGCGAGATACCATCGGGAGAGTTTCTTCTATTTCACTCGACAAGCGAACCCTAGTACGATGCTTGAAAATTGCACTACTGGATGTCTATCTTCCCTGCCAAGAGGCCAAGACTTTTCTTTCAGATTGGCTCTTTCAACTTGAACTAGAACTTGGACTGTCGCTGAATCCTTCCCGGGATATCAAATCATTTACCATTCTTTCTTTCTTGCGTATCTCTCCTTTGAGAAAGGGAATCAGTCCAGAAATCAAAAGTCTGATTTCTATACGTAATTCTTTCTTTTCTTTGTTCTGCAGTTACGCAGGGAATCCCGTTCTTTGGGTGATTCAAGGAAAGCAGCCCATGTCTTGTTCTAATCTTGAGGCCGACCACTGGACAAGAAAGCATATAGTTTCACTCTTTTGTAGGGGCACCGGCCGGCGGATAGTAGAGTCCCTCGAATCTTCTAGTTCAGTTCCTCTCCTTTCAGTCGAGTCTAACAGAAGTTCTCCTCTCCTTGAATAAGGGCGAGCTACTTTTTGTTTAGATACGATATTTCTACTTTCTTTCTCTTTTGTTTCTATACGAAATATCGTATGTATGCTATGAATCAAGTTTGTTGTTTGTTTACGATAAGCCAGCGCCCAATAGAGCCTAGCCCGGACGGACCAAAATGGTCTAGCGAAGCCGGTCCCCGCTTGGTGTAAGTACTTCTCGAACTTGATTGAAAGCAGCACAGCTTTTCAGGAGAGAATCATTTAAAATCTCTCTTTCTTTTCTTTATCGACTAAAGATTCATGGTATACTTTTTCTACACACATTTTTATTGATTGTTTTGGTGTTCAGTCGAGCGTATACTAACCTTTCAGTATAAGAAAAAGAAAGCTTTTTGCTTCAAACATGAAAGTCAAAGTCTGTTCTAGTGTGAGATAGAAGCAATCGACCTGATAAGAGAAGGTCTTGAGGGCCATATGCCCGATCGACACTTTCACCCTTGTCTAATCTAATAAGGGCGGTGGTCACTGATATTGACCATTGTTTCAGGAGTAATCGAAGAAGCAGGCACAAAAACAAAAGAAGGAATCCGATTATATAAGACTCAAAGTCTAAAGCGAAGTCTGAGTGACGGTGAAAGGGTCCGAATGAAGAAGTACCCGATCCTTTTGCTAGATAGGTTGAACCGACAAAGTAAGGTCTCTGTTCTTTGGTTTGTTCTATCCGTTTTCTTTGTATTTGAAGCTTCACACTTTTCGACTCTTTCTCGTTCGGTTCGAGATGGCAACAAGAAAGGAAAGGATTAAGCAACTCCCACCTTGCTCTAGACCTGGAACTGCAAGAAAAGTAGTGGTCCTCATTGCATCGATGATGGTTCCACGTATACCGATCGGTTTCCTGTTCGTCTCTTCGGCACCGAGAGTCAACAAACATGTCTAAACTCCACTCTTTAAGTAAAGACGAAGTTCAAGGGGGCAGGATCCAGTTGACTACTACCTCTGCATAGGATAGTAGGAAAAAAAAGAGGGAGCTATGCCCATACTGGTCGAACTAAACGATCTCGCTTTCGGCATAGCCAATTAGAAGTACAGTTCAAAAGAAACCAGGCGAGTGAGCTCTCCCAGTCAGCAGACAGGAAAAAGAGATGGATTCGTACGCACCTCGATGGAGACTAAATCCAAGAATAGGAAAGAGATGGCTTATCGACCACTCTTCGATCTTCGAAGGCGCTTTTTCTCTCAATACTCAATAGATGGGCTGAAGCAGGAGAGCGAATCCTTATATGCATTTTTTTGATTCCACTAGTTCCCTAAAATGCCCTTTGCTTCAACCGGACCGGCGAAGAGTCTGACCTGGCTGTTCAAAATCCATATCTATCGTCCAACCCCAGAGTCAGGATTCCCCGGGTACGCTACGCTCCTTTTTTTATCTCACTGAAGTGAAGCTATTGCCCGATTCAGTTATCTATCTTTCTGACCTTCACATCATAGGAACTGAGATTCTATCTAGTAGGGGCCTCTGTCTGTTCCTTTATATTCCCTATTCTAGCGCCTTCCTTTCCCTTCGGACACGGAACTTGTAGACCTTGGTCCCCTGTCTCCTTTCACCCATCTACACCAAGTAAAAGAAACTCTGCACATGAAGTCATGCCAGTCAGTGAATTCTTTTATATTATATATAGATGATATGAAGTTTAGTTTTTTCATAGAACTTCTGTTGGTCGCCTCTCATACCTTTTCTTTCCACTTCTTTCTTTTTTGAAAGCAAAAGAAAAGATAGTGATGTCGTTAGAATGAAGCTATCTTCCTATCGAGCATTATATTGCTTATGCGGTTTTTCTTATTCTATTCTGATTTGATTCAAACAGTCCCAATGCCGATTTCTTTCGACCGCTAAGAGAGTAGGAGCTCGCGTCGGAGAAGGCATTAGTCGTCTAAGGCGGGCTGGCATGTCTCTCTTTCCTAACTAAAGAAAGTTCGTACAAAGGTCCATGATCCATGGTCTTTTGTCCCCTGGTCGGCTAAGCTTACTAATAGGGGTCCAATCTCTGTAAACTGGTCTCAAAACCTCTCTCTTCCAGATTCCAGAGCCTTCACCTTCCTTCTGAATCTGTTGATGAACGAAAATTTGGTCTTTCGTATCGTCAGCTCGTTTTCTTTTTTATTCACTTCAAGCTCATGAAAAAGAAATAGCATGGACAGATGACCACAGAGCAGGGCTTCAATCTTTGAACTTTCCACCTCTCCATATTCCTGACAAAGGCGCTAGAGAAATCAATCTTTCATACTGAGGAAAGTGACTCTGACCTTCCCGTCTGTGGTTTTTTTTCCTACCACCAAAAAAGCGTTGATTGAGTATGCAACTCATGGTCGAGCTCAGAAGAGGATCGACAGAATCAACTCATCCATTGACGGGATCACTTGCTTCACCACTTGCGGAAAGGCCCACCTCAGATGGTGGATCACATAGAGTCACTCCATGCAAGAAAGAAGCTCTCCTGCAACTCGCTTCCGAATTTAGGAAATTTTCGATTGTAGCTGGTTCATCCACCCCGTGTGTTTGACGGCATGTCGCACTAGCGCCTTGCCTTCTTACTTATGTTTTGAAACTGCTTTCCCTCATGAATCGTAATATCCGCGACTCGTAGAAAGGGATGTGAGAATCTCCGAAAGGTACTCAGACTCAGTGGTTGCGAGGTCTAAGACCATCCGCCTATTCTTTCTTATTCTTAAGGGCGTAGCACTTAATTGAAATCGTAGGTCTCTCCGTATGTCCCTTTAGCGCTCAGTTGGGAAGTCGATTTCGTTCCTTCAGTTGCAGCAAGGCGCGCAGCGTTGAACTTAGACAAGTGAAAGGCGAGAGTGAAGTGTATAAGTACAGTTCAAGCGCTAGGAATGCCCCAATTGAAAGCTGGGAGAGAGGCTACAAGAAAGAAAGCAAAAAGCATTACACCTTACACTGATTTGAATACCTAGACTACTTCTAGAAAGAGAAAGAATTTCCAACTCGACTCAATCTAGCAAGAGAAAGAAAGGCGCTAGAAGACATACGAATTCCCGGGCTGCGGGGCCTA